CAACAAATCCAATACCCAGCAAAACTAATCCATCCCTTGAACCATGAAACCTGGATCCCAAGAAAATATAGATGATAACCTAAGTCTTTGGCAACCAAGCGTTCCTTCTAACGCTCAATTGTACTACCAGATACTTCACTATGTAGACTCAATTATAAATGTCATGCTGCTTACCAAAAGAGAGAGTAATAAGGTCTCATGTTCAATTCTCAAGGACTTTCATTTCCTTGTACATATAGCTAGTTTTCAACCAAGAGATACCAATGCCTAGTTCAAATACAGAAGACATAGTCGACACAAAACAACGAAAGAATAAAAAAAGTTGATGCAAAGAAACAAAATTAGAAATGTGATGCTTAATGAAGTATTTACCAAAATGTCATTGCATGACCACAATCTCCAAGTAGCTTGATGGCTAATTGTGAGGCCCTTAGCAGCATGGTCTCCACCTAATAGCTTGGGAGGTATAACTCAGCTTCTAGGTGGATAGGAGGGGGGAAGCGACAAAGAAGAGAGAGAGAGAGAGAGAGCAAAGATAAAAGATAGAGAGAGGAAAGGAGTAAACTTGAAAAAAAAATCCAATTTCTGTAAAAGTTTAAATTTCATTTTGATTAATTGGAGTGTTAGGAGTTTGTTTATAATGTTTAAATTTGATTTTGATTTTCGTTTAAGTATGGATTTATGTTTTAAAAGTTTTGGGTTTTCATTAGTTTGTAATGGGTTTGATGTTTGGAAGGGTTTTGGTTTAATTTAAGCTTTGGGGTTGGTTTTTGGGTGATAGAGATGAAGCTTGGTGGAGGTTTGGAAGCCCCCGTGGTTGGTTGTGGTGTTTGAGTGGAGTTGCAGAGGGTGAACCAAGGGAGAACCGGTACTGAAGTGGGATGTACTAGTACACGGCTAAGTTGTACTAATATGTGAGCAGATTTACCGGTACGAATATATGTTGTATCAGTCAAACCCTCTCTTATGTGATGAACTGGTACAGTAGAAGTTGTATCGGGACAACGAGAAATCGATAGAAGATGAACAGGTACAATAGAAGTCGATTTTATCTTTTTTGTCGCTAATGTCGATTCGATGAGGGATTTTGACAAAGCTAACTTGAAATTTATTTTTAAATATTATTTATATTATATGTGTAAAATTTAATGGAAAATAATACTTTTCTATTTTCTTTGGCAGTTTCAGGTCAGGTACTACAATTGGTAGCAAGATTTTTTAAATTCCTTTCAAACTTATGAAATATATTTTTTTATGATTCTTTAGCATGTTTTGAAATATATAATTGAGTGTTTTGAATATTTACTTGAATCTGAACCCAAACCGGAGTTGTTAAGTGCGATTCACACTAATTGTTCGTATTGTTCATATTGATTTTATCATTGAAATTATTGAACCTCTGGGATCCTTTTAGAATTAAATGTAAGTTTGCAACGATCGAATGGTGCAGAGTTTACGTTCCAAGTTGAGGCCATAGATCATTTTTCACTGAGTTCGTAAATGCTTAGGTTACCCAGTTAGTCTTCGGACTTTTGTATTGAACTTTGACTAGGAAGTGTATTTTTCTCGAGATGCAAGTCCCCTAAAAGGTTTCATCATATGTTCGTATTGACCCTGAGTGGTCTAGTAGGATAATCGTCAACCAATGCAGCACTTTATTGATATTGTGATCGTATTCAATATTTACTACTCTATTATTTATGTATGAAATGAACTATTTTGATATTGCCCCATCATGTCAAGTTATGTTATTTTCAAACTCACATGTTTGGAACTGACCTACTCTATTGAGATATTGTTGTTCACCCTAAATTATTTTTCCTTTTTTAGATTAGCAAGTGTTAAGAAAATTCGTGAATGATTGAACTGACAGTTTTTAGAGTTTTCATTCTAAGTATTGAAAATGTTGTTGAGGCATATAAATTGTAGTGAACTTGATGTACATGTGTGAAATGTAACAAATCAATGACTGAGTCGTATTATAGTTGTGTATAATATGTTTATCTATTGACCTTAATAGGAAACACTCGTTATATTTATGAAATTGATATCAGAGTTTACTCATTATTTGAAGACTTTATCATTTTAGTACCTATGAAGGCTATTAGTGCTCTAAAAATTATGAAAATAGATCTTGACGTGACAAAAACAACAACACACTTGGAAAAGAGACAAAATTTGACTAAAAATCGATTCATCGAAAAATGTCAATCCAAGCACAACGGACCCAAATAGATCGTATGTACTCTATTCACCAAAATAGTTGCCCAAACACACACAGGAGGAAAAAAAACCAGAAATTCAAGTAAAAGTATTGAGCAACGATTGAAATGGCCACCATTCAAGCCAAAAAAACACTCAAATACAACAAAAAGGAGTTGGGTACCTCAAATTCATCATCCCACAACCTATTCAAACCTTGGAGAGAAGATTGGAAGTAGTGGTTGAAGACCAACCACTGGAACAACTAAAACTAATGATGCCGACCCACTATTTAGGCAAAAAAAAAAAAACCTAGAAAACCACCCAAATCAAGATAGGTCACCTACAAAGACCTTCTATGTTAGAATTTGACCCACACTCTCTGATTGTCATAAATGAGAGTTTGTTGGGTAATCAATGTGAGAATTTTATATAGAATAGGATTATATTGAAAGAGTTTTAATATATCATGAATAGGTATGCGAGACATGTGACAAGAAATATAAAGATAAAGTTATATCTAAATAGGTTTGAGTTATAGTACTTTATCCCCATAAATAGGGTTGTATATTATGTAATTAGTTACAATATGACCAGCTTTCAGTGAATAGTACATCGATATATGTTTTTGATTCGTAGATGTAGGTATGGTGTACTTAGAGGATATGTTGTATTGAACTACGTTATATTTTTATGTTATGATCTTATTGTTTTCCTATCTTTGTTTGAATTTCTATCTTCTAACAAACATTATTTTTGTTAATTATCCATTGTGCAAAACCAAAAAATGGTATTAGAGCTATGTTCCAACAACTGATATTAGAGTTATATTCCAACAAGTGGTATCAGAACTACATTGATGATCCTGGTAGAATAATCAGAGCTAGATTGATGATCTTAGTAAAATAATTGGAGCTATATTAACGATCCTAGTACAAAAGTTAAAGCAATGATCAAATTGGTGTTCATATTGAAGAAAACTCCATTGCCATGTGTACGATGTGGTTTGAAAATTGATTTCATCTTGCGTACATTAAGAACGTAATCTCGAAAATTTAGTTGATGCATATTTTTATTTGGATCCATCCACAAGGAAAATTTAAAATTGGTATAAAAGCAAATGGGAGACTAAGTTGCTTCTAGATTGTTTGGATTTCAAGAATTAACACATGTGCTGTGTTGAAGATGTTTTTTTATGATTTTGGGCTCTTAGAATTGCAGTGGTATTCCGATGGTCTAGGAGCTATTGGGTTGATATAAATTCAGTAGTGATGATGTAGTATCTCGTAGGTTATGAGTCACTAGACTTTACCTTTGAATGGTGAAGTATTGAAAATTGAGACTTCCCAAGATCAAGTAAGATGCAAGTGGAGATGTACAAATGATGCAGGCCAAGACATAGGTTTTTGAAAGATAGAGAGGATTGTGACAACTCAAAAGAGTAAGTTTGCATGTGGTGCTTAAACAAATTAGTGGATCAAAATCAAAGATACTAGGCCAGATTTTGGGCATGACCAAATTTGAAGAGTTTGGTTCGAGGGAGGCTGTTGAAATTTGACCCAAACTCTATAATTTTCATGAAAGAGAATTTGTTGGATAATCAATATGAGAATTATATTGGAAGAGTTTTAATAAATTATGATAGGTATATTAGACATGTGATAGGAAACATAAAGAAGAAGTTGTATCTTAATACGTTTGAGTTACAATATTTTATCCCTATAAATAGGAGTGTTTTAATGAATAATCCATCGATGTAAGTTTTTGGTTCGTAGATATAGATATAGTATACCGGGAGGGTATATTGTATTAAATTACGTTATATCTTTATATCATACTTTTATAGTTTTCTTATCTTTGTTTGAATTCTAATCTTCCAACAAGTATTATTTTTGTTAATTATCCGCTATGTAAAACTAACAAGTGATATCAGAGTTATGTTCCAACAAGTGGAATCAGAATTATGTTCCAACATCCTGGGATCTTAGTTGAACCCTTTGGCGCAAAATCATCTATCACACATTTTCAAATTGTAAAGAAGGTAGATCAAAAAATCAGGTTAGAAAATTTCGAAAATCATTCAAACCTGAAAAAATCGAGTCAGAAGGCCTCCAAATATTCTAGAAAAATTATCATAACACTAGGGCAACGAATCGATCATGTGGGTAGGGTTTGGTCGCCTAAAAAAGCTGATGTCACTTTCCGACAGATGATGTTTTCGACGAATAGCCCTTTCTAAGCCTATTCTTTCTTGTTTCGTTGCTCTTGTAACTTTGTTGGAGCAATGGTCTGATACCAAGTTAAAGTAATAAATCCTAAGGGTTGAAAGGAGGAGAAGAAAGGGAGATGAATAATCAGTGTAGGCTATGTTATCAACTCGTACACTCTTATTTATAACAAACTAATGTGGATAATTACATTATTACTCTATAGTATAAAATAAGAAGTCTAATAGCTTGGTCGGGGGTTTCAGGTCTTGTGCAATTCTCCACCTGATAACTTAAAGTTTTTAGGTTGCGAGGTCGTAATGTTAGGCTTACTTTCCTTCTTGATTTTTCATGACAGTAATCTATTTTTCTAAGTATGTCGATAAACGCAAAAAATAATGGAAAATTGCAACCAATAAATATGCTTCAGTTATTAGTTGTCGATATTGATCAATGTAATCACTTTTAATGAATATACTTGAATGAGAGTTGAAGAAATCTATAATATAAAACATGACAGATTTTAATATGTTCATGCGACAATCTTTAAATATACTCATCCAAGGACCACCAACATTTCTATCAAAACCATTAGGTTACCCCCAGTCCTTCATAAATTCGAGTGAAAGAAGGAAATTTACCTGCCCAAAAAGGAGGAACTCCACATAGTAAGATGTAAAGAATAACACCTGCACTCCATATATCTATTTCTGCCCCATAATTTCGTCTAAGTACTTCTGGGGCCATGTAATATGGGCTTCCAACAATTTCACCAAAACGCTGACCTACCATCCAATTAAACACAATTAATTATACTTCATTCTCGGGGAAGAAGTATGCATGGTATCGTATTAAAAATGGTAACTAATATTGGTAAAATTATAATCAAAATTATAAGTAATGTTAAGATCGATCCCAACAATCTAGCATAGATCAGAACGAGGCTAGTTTTGCAACTTATAAGAAATCAGACATTACAAGCTAAATGGAATTGAATTTGGAGGCATACCAGGCTCGAAGAATATGGAGAGGCCAAAATCAATTGCCTTTAATGGAGCATTGTCACTGGTGTTGGCATATAAAAAGTTCTCGGGTTTTAGGTCTCGATGTATCACTCCATGTCTGTGACATACCTGCAAGAAGTACATCCCCGTTCGGCAAAGTCCGAACAATAATTAGGAGAAAAATCTCATTTTGTACCCCAAAAAATTTAATAATTTTTATTTTATATCCTTAAAGATTAGATTTCTTACATTACACTTTTAATGCATTAAAAATGTTATAATGTGACTATTAGTTTTGTTGCTCATTCTATCAAAAACCACCTTACTAACATTAACATAATGAGCAATGAAAGCTAAAAGATGTATCATATTATAGTATTTTTCATATATTAAAAGTGTAATGTAAACATAATAATTTACTTTCCTTCGATATTACCCTCATTTAGAACACGCTAAAATGTAAAACATTGGAGAAAATTAGCAAAAAAATATAACTTTAAGGTCGAAAAGCAGTAATAATGGGCATTCGATAGAGTATGTGATTTGTCTCACATGCATGGATCTGTATTCTTTAAACTTTGTCACTTTGCTCTCTCAATTGACAAAATAAAAAATTAAAGAATGCGGACCAAAATAACACATATTGAAAATATGACCAACTCAAATGATACAAGCAAAAACCTTCGACTAAAATGACTCAAATTAAAAATTGAGAAACCAAATCCCTTTAATTATGGTTAACTTAAACTATCATTTTCGATTAAATCAAAATGACACATACTAAAAAAACCAGAAGAACTAAAGGTAACTGATGGGTTAAGCCCAAGTAATCTAATTTATGTATTAAAGCCCAACCCCGGTTGAGGAGCCCAACCTCATCGTGAACCCACCAAGTCCAAGACAGACCAAGGCCGGCTAGACTTCTTGCTTAGCACGTCACCAAGAGGAAAGCATTGCTTAGCACGTCACCAAGAGGAGAACACGGGAAGTTTATCTACACCGCCTTAGGGAGTCCAAGGCCGGTTGGACTTCTTGCTTAGCACGTCACCAAGAGGAAAGCACGGTTGGACTTCTTGCTTAGCACGTCACCAAGAGGAGA